AGTAGTAGTAGTAGCAGTAGTAGCAGTAGTAGTAGTAGTAGCAGTAGTAGTAGTAGCAGTAGTAGCAGTAGTAGTAGCAGTAGCAGTAGCAGTAGTAGCAGCAGTAGTAGCAGTAGTAGCAGTAGTAGTAGCAGTAGCAGTAGTAGCAGTAGCAGTAGCAGTAGCAGTAGCAGTAGCAGTAGTAGTAGTAGTAGTAGTAGCAGCAGTAGAATAGATCTTTATTGTGTTCATATTGAGATGTCTTTCGACACATTCAGAATTATTTATAAAACACACTTTAAATACATTTAGAAAACAGTTAAGAGTTTATACAGTTCTACTGTTTAGACAAACAGTCTCTTGTAGATGTTCTGTATCTCCTGATGCAGCAGAAGGATCATACAGCAGGTTCTGTATCTCCTGATGCAGCAGAAGGATCATAAGATAAGATAAGATTGCTTTTATTTATCTCACAGAGGAGAAATTTACATGTCACATTTGGCATGGATAGAGACACTCAGATTGTGCAAAGGGAGGAAATGTGCAAACATGTTACATGCAGGATATATATGTACAATAAAGTGACAATAATTATGTACAACAAAAGTGACAAGTGTCAATTGGAAACAGTGTCAATAGTAGTGCAGGTTTTCACACAGTGATCATTTAAAGTGACTTATTGTACAGTCTGACAGCGGTGGGGATAAAGGCCCTGCGGTAGCGCTCCTTCCTACACTGAGGGTGCCTCAGTCTTCCACTGAAGGAGCTCCTCAGCTCCTCTACAGCCCTGTGCAGTGGGTGGGAGGTATTGTTCATGATGGAGGTGGCTTTGGCTAGCACCCTCCTGTCCCTCACCTCCTCCACAGAGTCCAGGGGCCTCCTGTCCCTCACCTCCTCCACAGAGTCCAGGGAGCAGCCCAGAGTGGAGCTGGCCCTCCTGACCAGCTTGTTCAGTCTGTTTCTGTCCCGCTCTGTGCTGCCCGGGGCCCAGCACACGGCAGCGTAGTAAATGGCAGAAGCTACCACAGAGTCATAAAAAGTCCTGAGCAGAGGCCTGCTCACTCCGAAGGACCTCAGCCTCCTCAGAAGGAAGAGGCGACTTTGGCCATTCTTGTGCAGGGCGTTTGTATTATGGGACCAGTCCAGTTTATTGTTAATGTGAACACCCAGGTACTTGAAGCTGTCCACCAGCTCAATGTCCTCCCCCTGGATGTTCAGCAGCGTGTGGGAAAGTGGTTTTCTCCTGAAGTCGATGACCATCTCCTTGGTCTTACTGGTGTTCAAGCACAAGTGGTTGCACTCACACCAGTCGACAAAGTCCTTGATAACCGACCGATATTCCAGTTCGTTCCCCTCAGACACACAGCCCACGATGGCGGAGTCGTCGGAGAACTTCTGCAGGTGACAGCTGTGTGTGTCGTGTGTGAAGTCTGAGGTGTAGATGGTGAAGAGAAACGGTGAGAGGACAGTGCCCTGAGGGGCCCCAGTGCTGCAGACTACCACCTCAGACTCACAGCTGCGCAGCCGCACGTACTGTGGTCGGTCTGAGAGGTAGTTGATGGTCCATGCAGTGAGGCTACTGTCCACTCCCGCGTCCTCCATCTTCCCCCGCAGCAGTGCCGGCCTGATGGTATTGAATGCGCTGGAGAAGTCGAAAAACATGACCCTCACAGCGCCCCCGGCGGGCTCCAGGTGGGAGAGCGTCCGCTGCAGGAAGTAGATGACGGCGTCCTCTACTCCGATGTTGGGTCTGTAGGCGAACTGCAGCGGGTCCAGGGTGGGGCTGACCACGGAGCGGAGATGGGTGAGGATGAGCCGCTCCATTGTCTTCATCAGGTGGGAGGTCAGTGCGACTGGTCTGTAGTGAGCCGGTTCCTTGGCGTGTGCTGTTTTTGGGACCGGGATCACACAGGAGGTCTTCCACAGTGTGGTAAACAGTGACCTATGTACTGCACAGGTGGACAAATGCAAGACAAAATAGTATTAATAACCTGGCCTTGTGGAGGTCTCAAGGACCACAGAGACTTTCGTTGTTTAGGCTATTTGTGCCGAAGGTTTGGCCTTTTCTATGATGACGTAGATTTTCATATATAATGTATCTGTGTCTTTTGTTCTGCCTGAAAATTAACGACCATTTTGTGAATAAACCAGCCAGGAGGCTTTGTCGTACAAAGATCCCAATTTGCATGAGTCTGATTCCTATCAGGTGGTGGAGAATGCGGCGCTGAATGCGACTCTGCCTCGGCTGTTGTGAGAAAGTTTTTTTTTCAGCGTGAGAGAGCTGAGAGCATCTGGATTTGGGTACTATCTACCAAGCTGGAGAGGTGACGATTCCGGGGCTTTTTTGCTCTCTCACTATATTTTTTTGTGTCCTCTTTTTTGGACTGACAAAGCGTTTAAATTTGTTTTTCCATGTCCATATTCCAGGGATTTCTGACGGGTGATTGGTCTCTGCCGATGGAAGCTAGTTCCCGGTACTAGTGAGCGCTGGTTCATGATCTGGAGACCTGGTTGGACGTGGAAAGGCTGATATTTGGTGGACTTTTGACGGTACCTGGGCCCTGTTCGACAAAAGGTAAGAGCGGACACCTGTTTATTCAAAGTCTGCTAATTGAGTGAACTAAATTATGGTCTGTTTAGAGGTCTGCCAAATGTCTAATATCTATAGATAAGATTAAAAACAGGTTCGCTACCTGATAAGTGTTGGCCATAAGTGAAGGATCCATAAAGTGTTGGCCATAAGTGAAGGATCCATAAAGTGTTGGCCATAAGTGAAGGATCCATAAAGTGTTGGCCATAAGTGAAGGATCCATAAAGTGTTGGCCATAAGTGAAGGATCCATAAAGTGTTGGCCATAAGTGAAGGATCCATAAAGTGTTGGCCATAAGTGAAGGATCCATAAAGTGTTGGCCATAAGTGAAGGATCCATAAAGTGTTGGCCATAAGTGAAGGATCCATAAAGTGTTGGCCATAAGTGAAGGATCCATAAAGTGTTGGCCATAAGTGAAGGATCCATAAAGTGTTGGCCATAAAGTGTATAGGATCCATAAGTGAAACCATGGTATAAAAATAAAAAATAAAATAAAAAAAGGTAGTAAAAACGAGTGCAGGGACCTTTGTTGCAAAAGTCTTGAAGTTGGCTAATTTCAGGTTTAATGAGTGACAAAAGTAAAAGCAATACCATCTGCTAAATATCAGTAATCACAGTTTAAAACTGCATATAGAAAAAGGGAGTTTTTGGATTTTGTGCCTGGACAGAGCTCACCAGAAGATGCAGAGTTTTATTTCCAGCTAAACTTTTGTATATGCATTTTGGTTTCGGTTCAGATAGTATTCAACATTTTTAAGAAAAGCCCTTTGAAGCTAAACAAGTTTTCAAATCTTGCTGTTACGTATTTTTTATTGCCCTCTGGGAGTGTGTGTGACTGCGCGCTCTCACACGGCAACCTGTTTCGGGTCTAAAAATAGACACTGCATGCAGATGAGCAGTTTGTCTTCTCTCTCATCTTCTCCTGTTAAATTTGTGTAAATTAGAGTTTAAATTTTGGGTTTTAGAAAGCTTTAAACGCAAGTACTCAACAGATTTGGCTTGTTCATTTTTATTTTTATCGTATGTTTATTTTTCATAGTTGTAGAATAAGAACGCTTCACCATATTCTTTGAATTTCTCGCTCTAATCTTGCTTTTACTTTTGCATTGCTGTTATATCGTTTAAATTGGTTGTAAGAGTTTGTATGATTCCTATGTCCTCCCATTACAAAAACACATAGTTGAAATAATTAAGATAGCTTGTTAAAAGTGCATGAATATTGACTTTTTAGTCTGAAAGAATATTGGTAAATAACAGCAATGCATTAAATCTTTAAATTTTTCCCCTTTTCGCTTGGTTGTGGGAATTCTTGCATGCGTTTTATCAAAGTCCAGCCGTGAGCGCGTGGGAGTGCGAGCACGGCTCCAAAACACCTGCCGCTTCTCAAAATACAATAATCTGTTTCTATTCGTTTGTGTGCATCTAAAAAAACGTGTTCACTTACATATTCCATTTTATTTTTATTATTAATTTTATTTTTTTCTTGTTTTTAACTCAAAATTTTAGAATTTATTTTTTGTAATCTGGCAATTCTTGAAATATACAGTTTGCATTTGGCTACATTTTTGGCTCACTGTGTCAAAAATATATTTTTGTGAGCGATAATTCGAACTGTTTAAAAAAAAAAAAAAATAGAATATCAAGTTATTTCTGCTATTATTCTGTGCCCGAACTGTTGGTATTTCTCTGTCGGCTGTTTCTCTTTCTGCACTTCAGCTATTTTTATTATATGTAGATACAAGGCTTTACAAATTATTTTTCTGCATTCATTTATGGTTTTTAGAATTCAAAGCATTGAGTTAGAAAAGTAAACGCTACAGTTTATTTAAAAGTACTCTGGCATCTTCTGGTTAGGTTTGTTTTGAGAAAGTACGGTCCAGGCCAAAATTGCATTGCCGTACGGCATCAGAGTTTTATTTTTATTCTTTCATTTTTGATTTGTTTTCATTTTATGTTTAAACACAGTTGAACAATAATTGCTAATCTAAATGTTGAAGTGGGTAGAATATAGAACCTAAATTGCTTTTTGACTTTAATCCCCAAAACTGTTGAATCTTTAGTCATTTTGTTTTGTTTTGGCTTCCATAATAAAACAGCTCTTTTCCGCGGGTGCATTTTCTACACAAAGCACATTTGTATTTTCCACATTTTCAAAGATCAGTGTAGAATAAAAAAATAATAATTGAATAAAAATAAGTGTATTTTCTACTTTGAGACTTAATAACCTTTATTTTGCATAAATTCCAGTTTCAATACTGTTACATTCAAATAAACAAATGCAAATACAAGGAGCATTTATTAGTATTTGGTTTATCAAATAACGGGAATAGTTGTTTTGTTTTGTTTTAAAAGCGAATAATATCAGTGCGCGTCGGTCAGTTTGTTTGCGTTTTGTGTTGACCATACCCATACAAAATCCAGTCTAGCTGGGCTCTATTCTATTTTATTTTATTTTATATAGTTGAATTTTGTTTTTTACAAATAATACACATTTTGGTTTTTGTCTGTTTGATTTCCAGTCACAATTTGAGTCAACATTTCCCGTTCAATTAAGTTTTGGTCCCCAAAAACAGTGTACTTGGAAACCATATTTTCTTTTATTTACATTGTATTTTTATTTTTTATTTTTGTTCTGGATTTTGGATTTTTTTATTTAATTTTTAACTTTTCATTTGTTTTGTTTATTATTATTTATTTTATTTTTCTCCACCTTTTGCCTTGGTTTTGAGTTTATTTTGGCATCCTTTTTATTTTCACTCTTTATTTTATTTTATTTTACGTTATTTTATTTTGATTTTTGCAAAAAAAAAAAAAAAAAAAAAACAATGTCTTTCATGAAGATGGACACATTTCTGAGGGAGGCGGAGCATTACATACACATCAAGGAAGAGCCATTAAAGGAAGAACAAAGAAAGATTTTACTGATGAAGAAGCTGTTCAAAAAGTATGCAGCGAAGAAACTAATTTCTCGTGGCGAAGATGCCCTGGCTCCGACCAAAAAGCAATGGGAAAACATTTCACAATATCACCAAGGCAAAGTATTGCATCATCGCACCCATCCAGTACTCACCAGAAGAGGCTACGTGACTGATGAAGCAAAGATCAGGAAGCATGAGGAGCTGAAGAACTTCGCATTGGAGCTGTATGACATTGCAAAGAAGATTGCCGAAAAATGTGAAGAACGAAAAATGACACGTATCCTTGTCCTGAAGGAGGGCACTCAAGAGGATCAACCATACAAGCAGAGAAAGAAGTCGGTGACGCTGAAAACTCAGGAGGCACATTCTGCAGACCCAGGACGCCTCAGGTCTGGTACCGTGTACAAGGACCTCCATGATGATACGGAGGAGGAGTGTGATGTTGAAGCTACTCAGAGAAGAAGAATTAAAGGAAAAATGCTCATGAGGGAGACCCAGACGCCCCTTCCACGGATAAATGATGAACTTCTGTACCCGGCTTCCGAGCCTGAAGACATGGAAGCATATCACAAGGAGAAGCACAGCTACAAGCAACTGAGCAGGTCACTAAAGGACTTGAGTACCCAGTATTCATCGTCAACTCCATGTTCCCCCCCTCGTTTCAAGAGATCTGCAAGACCAGAATACACACAAGTGGAACGCCCAAAAGCCACAGCCCAAGAAGATTTCCCAGAACCAGTTGAACACACAGTGTTGGGTGGCACCCTCTCTATGGTTCCATCCAGAGGCGATCGTGAAGATGTGCAAGAACTAGTGAAACAAGTCAAGACACTGACAGCACTGGTCAGTCAACAAGCACAAAGTGTTCACAACCAAACCTCTGAAGAAGATGAACATGAAGAAGTGGGAATTCCTCAACTGCGGAAAAAAGAAGAAGAAATATGGAGGAAGTCAAAGACCAAGACAATGCAAAACATGAACAAAGAAAAAGAAGAACTCATTTGTTTAATGGACAAAGAACCAAAGCACACCCAAACCAGTCGTGAAATGCATATAAGAAGAGGCATAGAGAACCGACTGAGGACAGGCCACAACCCCTTCCGTCCAGAGACAAGAGACCACTATGTCGCAGGGGAGTTTACCGGCCTGGTCGAAGACCAACAGCATGAGGGAGCCTTCGTGAGTGGGCATGTCAACCCATTTTTTGACCCAAATCACTCACTGCTAGAAGAAGATGAAGCGGGAAGAGCAACAACCTCTCTCTTTCCACTAAGAGAGGCTGCGGGTCGCCAGCAAGTGTATCAGCCATTTGCATTGAAAGATATTGAAGGACTAATGCTGAAATTGCCAAAGCTGACAAAAGGAGCACCTGCATTTATGAGGGCACTGACGACGCACACAGCTGGTGAAATATTGTGCTGGGGAGACGTCTCTTCTATAATCACCAGAAATACTGATGAAGCCACTACCAAGAAAGTACGGGCGGAGCTAATAAAACGCATTGGACCATTCAACCATACCCTGTCCTTTACCACCATGAAAGGACCACTGCTGTCAATTCTGAGAGAAATGTTTCAAACATGCGTTCCAGAAGAATTACTTTCGCTGAAGATGAAAGAAGATGAAGAGTACTTTGAGTACAAGCGCAGAGCCAAGGCCTTATTCTATGATGCAACTGGGGAAGCAGTGCAACCAGGAACAACAAGTACATTCATCCTGTTCAACACAATGGTCAAAGGAATGCCAAAACCAGTACAACAAAGTCTTTCTCATGTTGTTGGACTGTACACACTGACCGAAGAAGACTTTGATAAAAACTGCAACCACTATGTGACCCTCTATCGAAATGAAAGAGAGAATAATAAAGAAGAAACACAAAAAGTGGAGGTGTCTAACATCAAGCTACAAAACAAGAAACTTAAAGAAGAGGCGGAAGCACAAAAGAGTAAAAACAAGGCCGCAAATGTGATGAAAGTTGGAGTGGACGGATCACAGGTCAATGTTGAGGACAATGACCAGAATCAAAAAGGAAAAGAGCAAGCTGAACAGATGGTGGACGTTGTAAAGCTCCTTTTGACACAGAGACCGGCTCAGAGAGGATACAGGGGGAACTCCAGAGGAAGGAGTAGAGGGAGAGGATTTCAAGGACAAAGAGGCAATCGTCAAATATCTGGAGATCAATGCTTGATATGCCACCAATATGGACACTGGGCAAACACATGCCCTAACAAGTGGTACGAGAACCCACCCCGGAACCAATTTAATGGCCGGCGACGAAACCAACCGCAATTCTCCGGACCCTACAACGGAGAGCAGCAGATGTGGACGCCCAATGACATGCCCACAGCCCCCACCCCCGCCTGAACAAAACATGAGTATGCGTGGAAACTCGTACACACAGTACCAGGATGGGCCTGGAGGCTCTTATTGACGGGGCCAACAGCAAGAGAGCCACTCACTCCACAACTGGCGGAGTGAGCCAATGGTGGTCCTCGAGGTGAATGGACGAGAGATCAAGTTCATGGTCGACTCTGGTGCAACTGTGTCATGCATCACACACAAGTTTCCACTGTCCTCTGAATCAATGTCCATCTCTGGCTGTGTGGGGAAACCTGAAAGCAAACCATTTACTGTTCCATTGGAAGTAAAATCACACCATGAAACTGTTAATCACTCTTTTTTGTATCTACCAAACTGTGGCATCTCTCTGTGTGGCCGTGAACTGATGTGCAAGTTGTCCTTCTCCCTATTCTTCTGCCCTGAAGGATACAAACTCATGAACAAGCCTGAAACATTGCAACTAATACGGTCTTGGGAGAAAAACAAGCATGCACAGATATTGTATCTCTCACCAGATGTCGCAGAAGATCTGAAGACACCTATCGATATCTACTGGCTTCAAGTACTGACGGATCCAGAGCATGGTAATACAGCCTCAACACTCTGGCAACGATACAAGCTATGGGCAAAATCCAATTTCCCCTTGAGAGAACCGTTTGACCCACTGCATGCCACGCTGTACTGTACCACTCAAGAAGATGAGAGTTATGAAGAATTGTGGGACAATGTGCAAGGGCAAACATTCCATGTAACATACCCATACATCTACTGTGGTCCCAAAGGCATGGCCCTGTCTGTGACTCTTCCAGATGAAGTGAAGCCCTATTATGTCGAAACAACCGACATGGACCCACATGTGACGTTGGCCGTTTCCAAGTACCATACTGCAAAGTCCCTTGGATCAATGGTGAAGTTGGCAAACACTTTGATATATGCACCAACCGACAACCCTGGAGTGTCCTACAATGGACAACATGGCATTTTCAGGATCACACTGCCAGACGGGTCAACGGACATAACCAGAGCTTTGAAGGAATCGCGTCACAGACCTTTTGAAAATCACCCAGACGCTCAACGATACTTGGATGCAGTCCCAGCTAACATATGGATGACACATGCCAATGATGTGGGATGCACATCGCATGTTGTGAAAGTCAAACTGACAACTGACACTCCAGTATACAGAGCACAATACCCCTTGAAACAAGAACAAGTGCAAGGGATCGCACAAACCATTGAAGGACTGCTGAAAGCAGGTGTTATAAGAGGAACTACATCAGAGTATAACACCCCACTATTTCCAGTGAAGAAGTCAGATTTGAAGAACTGGCGCATGGTCCAAGACTTCAGACCCCTAAATGAAGTAACAGCTGATGAATCGTACCCTGTTCCAGACCCATACATCGCACTGAACAACCTTTCTCCGAACGACAAGTACTTCACAGTAATTGATCTGGCCAACGCCTTCTTCACAATCAAACTGCATCCAAAATCTCAGAAGTACTTTGCCTTCACCGTGAAGGGGAGACAATACACTTACTGTCGGATGCCCCAAGGATGGAAACTGTCCCCCGGGTACTTCAACCATTTCCTACGTCTGGATCTGGCTGAGTTTAACCTTCCTGAGAAGTGCACTCTCATACAATATGTGGATGATCTGGCTATTTCAGGACCAGATGCAAGGTCCGTTTTACAAGCATCCACTGATCTGCTCACACACCTGGCAAGAAAAGGCTATAAAGTGAAGCGGGAGAAAATCCAAATGTGTCGAAGATCTGTGTACTTCTTGGGAAGAGAGGTTTCTGCAGTTGGACAGGGAGTCTCAGACTCCAACAAAGATGCAATTCTGAAGACACCAAAACCAAAAACGGTGCGACAAATGCTGAGTTTTCTCGGACTTTGCAACTACAGTCGAGAATATGTACCCAACTATACCGCAATGACTGCACCTCTAAGAGAACTGATCAAACCCCATGGCATGAACCAACCAACTGCAAGTTTAACTTGGACCACGGAAGCAGAAAACTCCTTTACAAGAACAAAGCAAGCCGTCTGTAACGCCTGTGCACTGTATGTGCCAGACTACACACTGCCGTTTCATCTTGATGTGGCTGAATCACAATTCTATGTCTATGGAATATTGTATCAGAAGAAAAAAGGAGAAAGAAGAGTTCTGAAACACTACTCTTGCAAACTTGATCCACACGACCAAGCCCAACCTGGATGTGCAAGATATCTGGCAGCATTGACCAAAACAATCATGAAGACAGCACATCTGGTCCAAAACCACCCTCTTGTGGTACACACAAACCATGGGATCCAAGCATACTTGAACTCAAAACTGTTCATCACCACAGCCCAAAGAACTGCCAACATCACTCAGACGCTTCGTCAACCTCACATCACCTATGCCAGTGGAAACATCAACATGGCCATGCATATGATCAATGACTCTGAAAGCAACAGCACGGACCATATCTGTGAAGAACTGGCGAAGACTGAACTATATGTAAGAGCTGATCTTCAATTTGAGCCAATTCCAAATGCTGAAATGACACTCTTCTGCGATGGCTGCTCATACAGAGCGCAAACTGGAGAAACCATCTCAACATACGCTGTCGTCTCACAAAAGGAAAATGGAGAGCACAGAGTATTGGAAGCAAGACAAGTGGAGCAAGGATCGGCTCAAGTGGCTGAACTTACAGGTCTGCTGCGAGCACTGCAACTCGCCAGTGGACGGACTGCGAACATCTATACCGACTCGGCATATGCTTACAGGACATTGACAATCTCAATTCCTGGATGGATAAGAAATGGCTTCAAACTGATAAATGGACTGCCGGTAAAACATGAAGTTCTTGTGAGACATCTGATTGATGCAGTGAACCTACCAAGCAAACTGGCCATCATGAAATGCAGAGCACATACACAAGGAGAAGACATGATCTCCAAAGGAAACCAAGCTGCGGACCAAGCTGCAAAAAAGGCTGCCAACTACATGAAAAGAACAATGATCGTACAACAGAAACCAGAAAAACCCAAAGAAGTTCAAGAAGAAGAGGAAACTCAAAAAGCTCAAGACAAAGAAAAACCCAAAAAAGTTCAAGAAGAAGAGGAAACGCAAAACGCTCAAGAAGACAAAGAACAGACCAAAGAATCAAAGAAGAAGAAGAAGAAGACAAAAAATCAAGAGTTGAACACACAATCACATTTAATCGATCTCCAATATGTGAAAGAACTTCAAAACGCAGCTGGGGCATATGAACAACATCAATGGAAACTAAAAGGAGCAACAAAAGGAGAAGAAGGCCTCTGGAGAAACCACGATGGTCGTATTGCGGCACCCGCCGCACTTATACAAATGTTGTTTGAAGAATACCACAGCCCGCTGCACAGAAGCGTCAACTCTATGATTCGTCTCATGGAACCATGGTGGCATCCAAATATGAAAGAAATGCTTCAATATCGAATCAACAATTGCCACACTTGTCAAACCATGAATCCCAAGAAGACTTGCAAACCCCCACCTGGCACTTTCATCATGCCCAATTCGCCCTTTGAAAAAATTGTCATGGACTTTACAGACATGGGTCCTGACAGGCGTGTTAGAGGTTTTCGATGTTGAATTATTATTATTGTGGGTTATAAATTGCTATGGGTAGTGTGAGCAATATATGGTGATTGTAAAGGGATTTTAATGAGGGGATTATGTGCTAAAGCAATTGGTTTATAATAGGTGCAACTTAAGGAGTTGAAGGGCCCTCTGGAGAAACCACGATGGTCGTATTGCGGCAGCCGCCGCACTTATAACAAATGTTTTGGAAGAAGACAAAAGCCCGCCTGCACAGAAGCGTCAACTCCTATGATTCGTGCGCAATGGAACCATGGTGGCACCAAATATGAAAGAAAGGCTTCAAGAGCAAAGCAACAATTGCCGACACTTGCCAAACCAGAACCCCAAAAGACTTGCAAACCCCCACCGCACTTTCATCATGCCCAATTCGCACCTTTGAAAAAATTGTCATGGACTATACAGACATGGGATTCCTGACCGGCGTGTTAGAAGGTTTTCCGATATCTTGAGTATCGTGTAGCGAATATACTAAGTGGGTAGAAGCCGTTCCCGTGTTCGAACCCGGAAACCGCGGCAGAAGTTGAAAACATCTAATCGTGATGTATCTGTAGATTCGGACTGCCCATAAGCAGATCTGATCTGATAATGGCAGACAATTTACAGCTAAGATTGTGCGTGACGTGTTGAAAACTCTCGGGATTTTCACAAAATTGGTTGTGTTTACCAACCAAAATCTCAGGGTCAAGTTTGAACGGCATGATGCCACATCAAACGTAAGCTAGCTAAGGTTTGGCAGACTTCAAAACTTGACTGGGTCCTGCTCTTCCTCTTGTTGCTCTATGGACATCAGGGAATAGCGTGAACAAGTCAACAAGGTAGCTCCTACACACATGTTATTGGACTGGGATGAGAAATGCATAGGGGCCGTTGTCCACCTCAATGCAGAAGCCCCCTTTGTCGAAAGGGACTGGATTCACCAGCAATATTTGTCTGAGCTCAGGACAATTGTTTCCCAGTTGTCCCGAGAGCAGACCGACAAACTCAACCAATTGAGACAAACAGATGAATTGACCCATTGTTAAACCTGTGGATTGGATATTCCTCAAGTTCAAAGAGATCAAATGGACTCAGCATACCAGACAGGACCATATAAAGTGACTAATTGCACAGGTAGGTCTGGTTCAGGTCAATCGAGCCCGGTGTGAAGTACTGGACCATCTGAACACTCGCATTCGCAGCCCGAGTGACCAGACGGAACGAACCCTGGCAGAGGTCCAAATGACGTCGCTCGAAATACAACCTCAACTGATGACCGAGATCAACCGAACCCCGACGCACACTCAGGGGACCCTGGAGAGTTTGAAAAACGGGGGAAGTAATGTTTTTGTGATTCAAACCCACCTTGATGAGTTTTAAATGGGAATATGTACTCATGATGTTTTCTGTTTGTGTGGTCCCTAGTTTGCTGGATATCTGTTAACAACCTTAGGACACCGCGATTTGCCATACGAGAACCAGCATACTGAAAAACCAACTGTGACCACAGCTGCAAGCGGGATCACAACTCTTGATCTGCCAAATGCAATACTTAGAGACCAGAGAGAGAGCCCTCTGACCTGTCCTGTTCCCTCAGGACTTTAAGAAGCAGAAGTTCTATGTTCTGTCCATGTTCCCGTACCCGTCTGGACGTCTGCACATGGGCCACGTCCGAGTCTACACCATCAGTGACGCCCTGGGACACTTCCACCGCATGAGAGGACTCCAGGTACGACCCCTGACCCCAGAGCTTTTGATGACACAAAAGCCTGCTGGTTGACCTGCTGTTTAGCCTGCTTGTTGGCCTGCTTGTTGGTCTGCTTGTTGGCCTGCTTGTTGGCCTGCTGGTTAGCCTGCTTGTTGGCCTGCTGGTTAGTCTGCTGGTTGGCCTGCTTGTTGGCCTGTTGGTTAGCCTGCTTGTTGGCCTGCTGGTTAGTCTTGCTGGTTAGATTAGATCAGTGGTTCCCAAAGTGGGGGTCCCGACCCCCCGGAGGGTCGCGGGAACCCCTGGGGGGGTCGCAAGAAGATTTCCACAAACAAAAACGAACAAATATTTATCCCTTGAATATTTATTTTGCATTTTAATTTAATTTCAAAATGACTACTTGTCAAATTGTGTTTGGAGAAGAGTCTGAAAAAATATAATATATTTTAACTTAGTTTGTAATTTTGTCCCAGTCATTGACGGCGTCAGCAATAATCAGGTTACGCAGCGACAAAGCGTGTCCTGCTGTTGTTTGCTGAAGCTAAAGGTGTTTGGAGGCTACAAATAAATAATACCTGCTTTAAAATGAAACGTGGTTAATATCCACAACAGAAAAAAACGGAGGGGGAGAAAAGTCACATGTGTCAGAGGTGAGGCTGATTGTGCGAAGAGAGGGAGAGAGGGCAGCGGTAGAACAGCACGGTAAAGTGACCCGGCTCTTTGGAGTCAGCGGTAAAGAGGTCCACATTAAAAGCTGGTGGACGCTTCATGCTGTTACTTACGGTGACATTGGAAAGAGAAGCCGCAGGAATGAACCGCCACAATGCACTTTTTAACATAAGGAACAGCATAAAGCGGCCACCAGCTTTTTATGTGCGGCCCTTTTTACCACTGACTCCAAAAAGCCGGGTCTCTATACCGCAGTCGAAGAACAGTGAGGGTAAGTAAGTAAGTAGTAAGTAAGTAAGTATTTATTTATATACCGCCTTTTCACTGCAGATCTGAGTCTCAAAGCGGTTTACAATTGTTAATTTTTGGGCATTTGTCTCTCACTCCACACAGAGATGGGAGCGCGGTCGCCAGTACAGGAGGCGCATGCTAGAACTATTGGACATATTTTTAGTGGTAGGGGAAACCGGAGTACCCGGAGGAAACCTACGCAGACACGGGGAGAACATGCAAACTCCACTCAGAAAGGCCCTGGTCCGACCGGGATTCGAACCCAGGACCTTCTTGCTGAGAGGCGAGAGTGCTATCCACTCAGCCACCGTGCCGCCTAGAGGCTCACCGAGGGTGAGCCTCTAGAAATGCCCTCCACTTCTGCCAAGAGGGGAGCCCACCAAGCCCATCACTCCCTACGCGAGTAAAAATACTTATGGCTCTTATTTTGGGCTAGAGGGTGCAGCTCTTTAGTGGCACGAGTCTCTATAAAGCGTTACTCTGAATCAAGAAAATAAGGGCTCATTTCATCTGACGGGAAGAGCTGGGGGGGGGGGGGGGGGGTCGCGGGGGAGCAGCACATTTATCATGGGGGTCGCGGGCTAAAAACTTTGGGAACCCTTGGATTAGATGGGAGTCCACCTGGACCGCAGACTGGACTGGGTGTCCACCTGGACCGCAGACTGGACTGGGAGTCCACCTGCTGGACGAACTAGGCCCACTGCCATGAACGATAAGTCATAATATATACGTAAATATATATATAAAGTATATATATATATGTATAATATGGCAGTTTGTTGGTTTATCGACGGTGCTAAACTCACACACTTTCTGGTCTCTCTCTCGGGTCTCTCTCTCTCTCTGGTCTCTCTCTCTGGTCTCTCCCTGCTCTCCCTCTCTGGTCGGTCTCTGGTCTCTCTCTCTCTCTCTCGGATCGCTCTCTGGTCTCTCTCTCTGGTCGGTCTCTGGTCTCTCTCTCTCTCTCTGGTCTCTTTCTGGTCTCTCTCTGGTTGCCGTGGTGATGTCTCTCTCTCGATGCTGTTGACACATTACTGTCACTCACCACGCAGCCGTCTGGTTCCTCACACATGAGGCTGTCTCCATGGAAACCACTCAGACACATAGAGAAGTGTGATTTGCTGGTCTCTCTCTGGTCTCTTTCTGGTCTCTTTCTGGTCTCTCTCTCTGGTCTCTCTCTTTGGTCTCTCCCTACTTTCTCTCTCTGGTCTCTTTCTGGTCTCTCTCTTGTCTCTCTCTTGTCTCTCTGGTGTCTCTCTCTGGTCACTCTCTCTGGTCTCTCTCTCTGGTTTCTCTCTCTGGTCTCTCTCTAGTCTTTCTCTGGTCTCTCTCTGGTCTCTCTCTCTCTGGTCTCTCCCTGCTCTCTCTCTGGTCCGTCTCTGGTCTCTCTGGTCCCTCTCTCTTGTCTCTATCTGGTCTCTCTCTCTGTTGTCTCTCTCTGGTCTCTTTCTTTCTCTCTGGTTTCTCTCTGGTTTCTTCACTGATGTCAGAATTTAAACAGGTGCTGAACCCTATGGGCTGGGATGCGTTTGGTTTACCTGCCGAGAATGCAGCAATCGAGAGGGGACTCGACCCTGAAGTCTGGACCAGGAAGTGAGTCTCAACCTGTGGGCCCGAGACGTGTGGTAGCGGGTTAGCATTGAGCTATCAGGATATTATTAAGCTAGCCGGTTAGCATTGATCTCGCCAGTTAGCATTGAGCTCTTTACAATGATACTTTGTTTGTTTTTGCAGGAACATTGAGTCCATGAGGGAGCAGCTGCTGAACCTGGGGTTCTGCTTTAACTGGGACCAGGTGAGGACCATGTGAGGACATGCCTCATACTTTGTTTTTTGTAAACGTATGTAAACGTGTGTTACCACAACAGGAAGTGACCACCTGCCTCCCGGAATACTACCGCTGGACCCAGTTCCTGTTTGTGAAGATGTTTGAAGCAGGACTGGCCTATCAGAAAGAGGTACACCAGTGGGGGCGGTGCCAAATGGTCCAGGAGAAAAAGTGGCTCTGGGTCTACCCCTCGTCTCTCCTCTGGTCTCTCCTCTAGTCTCTCTCCCTGGTCTCTAACCTGGTCTCTCTGGTCTCTCTGGTCTTTCTCTGGTCTCTCTCTGGTCCCTCCTCTGATCTCTCTCTCTGGTCTCTAACCTGGTCTCTCTGGTCTCCCTCCCCTGGTCTCTCTCTGGTCTCTCTGGTCACTCCCCTGGTCTCTCTCTTTCTGGTCTCTAACCTGGTCTCTCTCCCCTGGTCTCTCTCTGGTCTCTAACCTGGTCTCTCTGGTCTCTCACCTGGTCTCTCACCTGGTCTTTCACCTCTCTGGTCCAGGCCGTGGTGAACTGGGACCCTGTAGACCAGACCGTGTTGGCGGATGAGCAGGTGGACTCCAGAGGCAGGTCCTGGAGGTCTGGGGCCGAGGTGCAGCAGAAACTCCTCAAGCAGTGGTTCATCAAGACCACCAACTACGCCAAGGTGAGGCCCGTCTGAGGCCCGTCTGAGGCCCAACAGGGTCTGATGCCTAGACAGGGTCTGATGCCTAGACAGGGTCTAACCCTTACCTCACAGCGGGCAGTACGATTGACAGTTTGCATGTTCTCTCTCTGCAGCCGCTGGTGGAGGCCCTGGCAGAGGTCCCAGAGTGGTACGGGGTCAAGGCCATGCAGAAGAACTGGATCGGGGACTGCACCGGCTGCTTCTACCAGTTCACACTCAAGGTACAGGCTCTGCTCACATGGTCCTCTCTCCTGGTCCTCTCCCCTGGTCTCTCCCCTAGTCCTCTCCCCTGGTCTCTCACCTGGTGTCCCCCCTGGTCTCTCTCACAGCTGTCTGGTCAGGACACAGGGGAGTTTCCCTCGGTCTTCTGTGTGTCCTCTCTCCCCTGGCCTCTCACCTGGTCTCTCCCCTGGCCTCTCACCTGGTCTCTCCCCTGGCCTCTCACCTGGTCTCTCCCCTGGCCTCTCACCTGGTCTCTCCCCTGGTCTCTCACCTAGTCCTCTCCCCTGGTCTCTAACCTAGTCTCTCACCTGGTCTCCCCCCTGGTCTCTCTCACAGCTGGCTGGTCAGGACACAGGGGAGTTTCTCTCGGTCTTCTGTGTGTCTCCTGAGACAGTGTTTGGAGCAGCCTTCGTCCACATCCTGCCCTCCCATCACCTGCTGTACGGTACCAGCTCAGTCCGAGACGCTCTGGAGGACGCTCTGCAGCCGGGGACAGGTGTGTGTGTGTGTGTGTGTGTGTGTGTGTGTGTGTGTGTGTGTGTGTGTGTGTGTGTGTGTGTGTGTGTGTGTGTGTGTGTGTGTGTGTGTGTGTGTGTGTGTGTGTGTGACTCTCTCTGTGTGACTCTCTCTGTGTGACTCTCTCTGTGTGTGTGTGTGACTCTCTCTGTGTGACTCTCTCTGTGTGTGTGTGTGACTCTCTCTGTGTGACTCTCTCTGTGTGTGTGTGTGACTCTCTCTGTGTGACTCTCTCTGTGTGTGTGTGTGACTCTCTCTGTGTGACTCTCTCTGTGTGTGTGTGTGACTCTCTCTGTGTGACTCTCTCTGTGTGTGTGTGTGACTCTCTCTGTGTGACTCTCTCTGTGTGTGTGTGTGACTCTCTCTGTGTGTGTGTGACTCTCTCTGTGTGACTCTCTCTGTGTGTGTGTGACTCTCTCTGTGTGTGTGTGACTCTGTGTGTGTGACTCTCTCTGTGTGACTCTCTCTGTGTGTGTGTGACTCTCTCTGTGTGACTCTCTCTGTGTGTGTGTGACTCTCTCTGTGTGTATGTGTGTGTGACTCTCTCTTAGGGTTGGGCGATATTTTTTTTGTACCGGTATACCGGTATAAGTAAATTAAATGATAAGAAAATGCCTTATACCGGTGAAAACGATCATTTAACACTGAAAACGGCAAGCGGAAGACACGTTTGTGTGCGGCGCAATTTGATGACGCATCTGCGCGGAACGTGTAGCAGAGCGGCGTGCAGGGACAACAACAACAGAGCAGAGAGCAAACATGGCTGAGGGCGGCGGTGAAGACCATGGTGAAGACATGCAGATTGTAGAAGACATTGTGCCAAAACGCGGAGCTACCTCAAACATATGGGAGTAGTTTGGGAACTAGATAAAAAGAAGCAATTGTGTGTAACTATTGACAGTGGATCTAATGTTGTGAAAGCAGCTGCCCTAAACAACTGGACTCGAGTGGCTTGCTTCGGACACTCGCTCTCTCTCTCTCTCTCTCTCATAGTGCCATTGGTAAGCTTTATTTACTGTTTACTGTCATTCATTTTACTTCAATGCATGTGTTTGTCTACATTGCAATATAATTACAAATAACTTATAATTACATAATTATAGAAACGCAAAAGGATACAAAAAATATATACAGTATTTGATCATTTTGACTATATTGGGATTAGGAAACATAAGCCAAAGTGAACAAATAATTATTTGATAATGCTACACTTTTTATATTACAAAGGACAAACTTTTATATATTTTACAAATTACAAATGTTCACCTTTATTACCTGATGCCTGCAATTTTCAGTATGTACAAAACAGAATTCTCTACAATTCAGTTTTGTTAATACGTTTTATATACAATAGCTGTATTGCACATTTTGCTGCCAATAAATCAGTAAATGCACTTTGAGGCAAGTGTGTTTAAAATTATCAGTGCTAAGTTTTTATAGCTTTTATTTGAGGCTTTGTTAAAATTATCATATCGTCATATCGTGATACATACCAACAAAAATCGTGATACATGCTGAGGCCCATATCGCCCAACCCTACTCTCTCTGTGTGACTCTCTCTGTGTGTGTGTGTGACTCTCTGCACTTGTTTTCAACTCCTGGTGGGTTCCATAACCTGAGATTCCACTCACGTCATGGGGACTGGTTTTACGTGGTGGGGCCCGAACACCGGACCCCACTGGTCCAAGCTTAATAATCAATGGGTAATGCTTTTCTAACGGTCCTTATGCAGTCTCTGTAAAAATATGGAAAGGACCCCTGGAGGTTTACTTTCCTGAAAAAAGTGTGTTATGTGTCGGAACCCTGGTGGTGGGTTGCGGAATATCAAGGAGGGGCACACTGGGGCAATTTCAGTCCAGCAGGCTGGAGCCAATCATGGAGCAGCACAACAGAGGAAATCAGGTGTCAGGCTAGAAAAGGTGCAAGTGTGTGGTTCATTAGGCTGCAAGAAATCATGGAGGAGCACATTGAAGCGCACGCTTACAAACCACTGGTAAGTGCTGACTACAAGTCATGACTTCAAATTGTTATATAGAATTATTACAAATTATTTGTTATTTGTGCAGCTTAGTCAAGAGTCCCTAATTGATGAAGTCGACTCAGATTCTGACGATTTAACTGTCAAGAAGAAACCTGTAAAAAAGTATGGAAAAAGAAAAATCAAAAACACTTTTCTTCAAGACTCGGAAAGTGACGAACCAAAGGCAAATAAGATTGTTATCATGCAGCTGCAAAAGAAGAAAAATGGGGGGAGAGTTTACATCTACTGTTCAATGTCCTGCCACAAAATGTCCCGTCATTTGACTAGAAAACATGGAAATGAAAGTGACGTAGCCAGAGCATTGGCTCTACCTGTGAAATCTAAAGCACGTAAACTTCAGTTTGATTTGATCAGGAATAGTGGAAACCGTGAGCACAATGTTGAGGTTTTAAAGGCCGGCATTGGAACTTTAGTCCCAGCTAAACAGCCAAATTCCCCAGTTAAATCCAGTGAGTTTTTGCACTGTATAGACTGTGGGGCATTGCTTAAGCGAAAGTCGCTGTGGAGGCATGTGGCCAGGTGCCGGCTTTCACGGAAAGATGCCCAGGCTAAACCAGGTAGAAGTAGCAACGAAGCAAGTAGCAACGAAGCAAAAACCGCAGGGAAACTGAAAACAATTAAGGATTTCTTTATTCCTTCCAACTTTAACCATGTGATTGATGCAGTCAGGTCTGTGGCTGGATATGATGAGGAAACAAATCAATACAAGACTCCATCCTTGGCCCTCAAACTTGGCCATAGCCTCAGAAAGCTAGCAGATATTCTTGAATGTTACTCAAAAATGGAGCAATGTGTTGATGAACTATTTATTAAATACCTCCAACGAAGCCGGCTGCTTTTTGAGAAGAGGTGGGACGTCTGTGTTTCTTCTGCTGCCCTACAGACCCTCCGGCAAGCCAAGTGGAACACTCCGGACCTGCTCCCTCTGACTGAGGACGTTAGAGCCATGCATGCACATATTGAGGTATGTCGACCTGAACATGTGCAAACCCTAATAAGTGAGCCAACCTCTAAGCATTGGTCTAAACTGGCAGTTTTGACTCTTTGTGAGGTCATTATTTTCAATCGAAGAAGGGAAGGTGAGGTTTCAAAGATGCCACTGACAGCCTTTACCTTAAGAAGTAAGACTGGGATCCATTCTGACATTGCTCTGGGACTGTCCGAACTTGAGAAAAAGCTGTGTCAGCATTTTCAACGCATTGAAATTAAAGGGAAAAGAAGTCGGAAAGTGCCGGTTCTTTTGACTCCTGAAATGATTTCTTGGATGGAGGTGCTGGTGGAGAACAGAAGGGCCTGTTCCATCTCTGACCATAACCCATACTTCTTCTCCCGCCCGGGCGCAGACACCCTACGGCAGGTAGCCAAAGAATGTGGTGCGGTGAGATCACAGATGCTATCCTCAACCAAACTTAGAAAGCACATAGCTACTATGTCTACAGTTCTCAATATGAAAGAGAATGAAATGGACATACTAGCCAACTTCCTCAGCCATGACATTCGCATCCACAGACAATATTACAGACTACTGTTAATGACCATGAAGCAGGGAAGAGTGACGGAATTCAAAGGAAAGAGCCTCGACCAGGTACAAATTGAGCCTGAAGGTAATTCTTGATATTATTAAAATATGTATAATTTTTTTCCCCTAAAGGCCACTTATATTTTTATTTTCTGTGCGACAGGGAGAGCAGTAGAGATCCTCTCACAAACGGACGGGCTAAAAGAAACTTCAAGCGGAGAACCTTCAACCATTCATCCAGATGCACCCCATGGTAGTGGCAGTGCCCCTTCTGGTAAGTGTACCAGGTGGGGGATTACAGCCAGGCTGCTTGGTCCTAACCCTGGGAGTGTATATTGCTAATATATTTTTATTTCTCTCCCTAGAACGTGTAAGAAAGCCATGGTCTGCATCTGAGGTGAAGGCTGTGGAGAAGACCATGACGCCTTTTATACAGACTGGAAAGGTCCCTGGGAAGTCTCACTGCCTGGCCTGCATTAATGCCTCACCAGATGACCTTAGACATCGGACATGGAGTGGCATTAAATTCTATGTCAAAAAAAGAATCACTGCAATTCGAAAAAAAAATCAAAAATAAAATTCCTTTAAAAGAGTTGTTTGTTTTCTATTGACTGTTTTGTATTACTTAAAGTCCCAGTAAAAAAAGATTATGTCTATGGGTCCCATTCTGAACGGCCCTGTCAAAGGGACCCACCAGGTAACAAAAACGTGTATGTGTGTGTGTGTGTGTGTGTGTGTGTGTGTGTGTGTGTGTGACTCTCTGTGTGTGTGTGCGTGTGACTCTCTGTGTGTGTGTGTGACTCTCTCTGTGTGTGTGTGTGACACTCTGTGTGTGTGTGTGACACTCTGTGTGTGTGTGTGACTCTCTGTGTGTGTGTGTGTGTGTGTGTGACTCTCTCTGTGTGTGTGTGACTCTCTCTGTGTGTGTGTGACTCTCTGTGTGTGACTCTGTCTGTGTGTGTGTGACTCTCTGTGTGTGTGTGACTCTCTGTGTGTGTGTGTGTGTGTGACTCTTTGTCTGTGTGTGTGTGACTCTGTCTGTGTGTGACTCTGTGTGTCTGTGACTCTGTGTGTGTCTGTGACTCTGTGTGTGTGTGACTCTCTGTCTGTGTGTGACTCTCTGTCTGTGTGTATCCACAGACTCCCTGACTCCCGTCACTGCTGTCTGCCTCCTCACACAGCAGGAGGTTCCTCTTGTGATCTCACATAAACAACAGTTTGATGGACACCTGGACACAGTGCTTGGTGAGTTCTACTCATTTCTGGTCCGGTATGTGCGCCGCGGGGCCCTCTCCTGACTGTCACTGTGTTCCTCTGAGCTGTGTGCGACGTTGGTGTGTGGTGTTGTTGGTGTATACAATACAATACAATACAATACAATTTATTCTTGTATAGCCCTAGGTCACAACAGAAGTCATCTCAGAGACTTAACAAAACCATTGAAATCACCAACACAGGTCAGAGAATCAACAGTTAAAACACATGAAGAATACAGTATAAAGCACACACAGAAGAAAATGTCCATACATGTTGTAGAATGCTAAAGTGTCCTGATCATCACCAATCCTTTCTGTTGGACACTAACTGTCCAACAAGACCCTCCTGCATCGACAAGGAAAAACTCTTAAAAAACCCAGTGGGAAAAAGTGAGAAACCTTGGAGGAGAACTAGGGAAACCCACAGGGAGGGAGACCCATATGAGAAAGGGATCCGCTCCTCCGGACGGACAGACTAATGATCTAGGACCTAAGCTAGCTACAGAACGTGGACCAGTGGACGCTGAACGTGGACAGGTCCGGTGCAGGACCGAAGCACTCCCAGGCGGGTCGGGCGGGGCAGTCCGCAGGTGTAGATGGAAGAGGCCAGGCTCAGAGATCCCGTCATCGTACCATGAAACAGACAATGGGACAACGGGTGAATAGCAATGAACAAACTACAGTCAGAATCCTAAAAATGCTAAACAGATAAAGTAGGAAGGAGGAGAGGATAGTGCTCAAGTTACCATACTTCTCCCAGCAAACTGACTCCCTATGCAGCTTGACTAACACTCTGAGGAGTTTAACCTTCTCCGAGTCTTACCTTCCTAGCCATATGCTAAACTAAAGAGGACTGTTTTAAACCTAGCCTTGAATAAAGAATAACATACAGCATAATATATAACATAATATACAACATAACACAATACATTATTGAATAATATATAACATAATATATAACATAATACAGCATATATATATAATATATACACTACATATTATATATTACCTAATTATATGCTAAATTAAAGTAAAGTGCTTTAAGCCTGGCCTTGAATGTGGAGACCGTATCTGCTTCCTTAACATATCTTAACGTATCTGCTTCCTTAACATGTATAAAGGTATATACACCTGTATACAGGTGTATATACCTTTATACACCTGTATAAAGTTATATACACCTGTATACAGCAGGTGGTTTGTGTTTTTGATCAGATCCATGAGAAATTATGTCAATCAAACATGATACACACAGGCGAAAAGATATGGCCACAAACTAACACAATAATGCATGTGCGTGTGTGTGTGCGCGTGTGCGTGTCTTGTGTGTGTGGGTGTGTGTGTGTCTGTGTGTGTGTGTGTGTGTGTGCGCGCGCATGTCTTGTGTCGTGTGTGTGTGTAGGTGTCCCTGACAGCTGTGAGGAGGACAGATGTGTTGCTGAGTCTCTGCAGCTGCAGTGGACCTCAGTCCTCTCAGACCAAGACGGGACTCAGACTTTAAAGAACTCAGGCGAGGTTAGTGTCATGTGACTGTTATAAACATGTGTCATGTGACTGTTATAAACATGTATGTGTCATGTGACTGTTATAGACACATGTATGTGTGATGTGACTGTTATAAACATGTATGAGTCATGTGACTGTTATAGACATGTATGTGTCATGTGACTGTTATAGACATGTATGTGTCATGTGACTGTTATAAACATGTATGTGTCATGTGACTGTTATAAACATGTATGAGTCATGTGACTGTTATAGACAGGTATGTGTCATGTGACTGTTAGACATGTATGTGTCATGTGACTGTTATAGACATGTGTCATGTGACTGTTATAGACATGTATGTGTCATGTGACTGTTAGACATGTATGTGTCATGTGACTGTTATAGACATGTATGTGTCATGTGACTGTTATAGACATGTATGTGTCATGTGACTGTTATAAACATGTATGAGTCATGTGACTGTTATAGACATGTATGTGTCATGTGACTGTTATAAACATGTATGTGTCATGTGACTGTTATAGACACATGTATGTGTCATGTGACTGTGACTAAAAATTAACCTTGACTTGCTTAGGGTGTGTTTTACCATATGCTGTTCTGCAGATGACGTTATCGTGATTCAAAGTTTTAAACAATTTGCCGTTAACTAAAAGCCGATCCGTTCCACTGTCAAACTTTAAACTTTTGTGCAAAATCAAATCAATTCGAACAAGCTTGTGGATGTTTTGAGTGGAAGTTTGGGAACTGTGAGCTCTCTGTGAAACTGACTTAAAAATAGTGCGAATGACGCAAAGGATTTAACTTTTGCTTAAGGTAAGTTCGTTGTGGCTGCGTTTCACTAAATCCCTCATTCTCTTCTGCAATTCATTTTTATGGTGTCTGGCCCAGCCTCTTCTCGGTCATCTCCAAGCCTTTGGAGCGATGTGTCAATGCCTCTCCGTTTAGATCCGTGAGTCCATATTGGTCCCAATAGGCTGGGCGATAAATCATTTGAATTATTAAGTCGAAGATGATTGTGTGTTTTTCGAACATTTTCTCCAGCGAGGAGCTACAGTGCTAAAACGCTACACCGCGGGTGTTGAGTAATTTGGAAAGCTTCCCTTGATGCACAGTCTCCCTCTGTCTGGTCCCGGCACAGTGTGGTGCTGTTGAAATCGACTCTTATTTAATCGCCACAACACACAACACTTACTTGTATCTTCCCTGGCTCCGGTCGCAAAGCACACATGTGTTCCAATGAGCCTCTGCACTTTGGGGAAAGGATTCGTCTCACACATTGCTTGATACAACAACGCGATCCATGCTCGAATGTAGCTACAGTCACAGATGTAAACAGGAAGAGAAACGGAAAATTTACTCAACCCCAGAGGTAATCGCTGACGTTAAGCTGGACCGAGCGTTGTACTACGTGCTGAAGGGGGGGGGTTGGTTTTGTTACCAGACTTTGTTCATTAACTTTGTATTTAGAGAAATCGTTTAGTTTTAAAAAATGATTTTTTATCTATAAATGCCATATGTTTAAGATAAGGATAGATGTGCTTTATTTATCTACAGAGGAGAAATGTTATGTCAAATTTGGATGGAATAGAGACCTCAGATTGTGCAAAGGAGGAAATGTGCAAAACTTGTTACATGCAGGATTTATGTACAATAAAGTGTCATTAATTATGTACAACAAATGTGCAAGTGTCGATGGAAACAGTGTTCCAATAGTAGTTGATGGTTTTCACACAGTGATCATTTAAAGTGACTTATTGTACAGTATGCAGCGGTTGGGGGATAACGCCCTGTGGTAGCGCTCCTGTCTACACTGTGGGTGTCTCGTCTTCCATCTGAAGGCGATCCTCAGATCCTCCCCAGTTCTCTGTGCAGTGGGAGGTTATGTCATGATGGAGGTGGCTTTGGCTAGCAACCTCCGTTCCTCACCTCCTCCAAAACCAAAAGAGTACAGGGGCTCCTGTCCCTCACCATCCTCCACCAGAGTCACAGGGGCCTCCGGTCCCTCACTCCTCCACAGAGTCCAGTGGGCTCCTGTCCCTCACCTCTCCATCAGAGTCAGGGGCCTCCTGTCCCTCACCTCTCCACAGAGTCCAGGGGCCTCTGTCCCTCACTCCTCCACAGAGTCAAGGGGCCTCCTGTCCCTCTCACCTCCTCACAGAGTCCAGGGGCCTCTGTCACTCACCTCCTTCCACCAGAGTCCAGGGAGCAGCCCAGAGTGGAGCTGGCCCTCCCTGACAGCTTGTTCAGTCTGTTTCTGTCCGCTCTGTGCTGCCCGGGGCCAGCACACGGCAGCGTAGTAAATGGCAGAAAGCTACACAGGACAGGGACCTTCTCCAGGCTGAGGCTCAGGTTGTACATGTAGCTGAGGACCCCAGAGAGCTGGTCTGCGCAGGTCCTCAGCAGCCTGGGACTGATCCCGTCCGGTCCTGCGGATTTCCTCAGCTTCAGGCGCTGGAGCTGACTCCTCACCTGGTCCGGTGTGATGGAGAGGGGGGGGGACTGGGATGTACTGTCCGAGGTGGGGGCTGGGGATGCGGGGGCAGGAGGGCCCGGGGCAGCCGGAGGCAGTGTCCACTGGGCGGTGTCCACTGGGCTGGGGACGTGTGAAGAGGTGGGGGCGGGAGGGGGGGGCAGATGGAGAGGGGGGAGAATCAAACCGGTTGAAGTGCTGGTTAAATTCGTCCGCCCGGTGCTGGTCTCCATCTGCTGTTCCTCTGGCACTCTGTCCAAAGCCGGAGATGTTCTTTAGGCCTCTCCACACGTCGCGGGCGTTTCCCTGGGCCAGCTTCTGCTCCAGCTTTTTCCCATAGTCCTTCTTGGCCCTCCTGATCCTCCACTGGAGCTCGTGCTGGATCCTCTTCTGCTCCTCCCTGTCCCCTGAGATGAAAGCCCTTTTCTTGAGGTTCAGGAGGGCTTTAAGCTCAGGGGTCACCCATGGGTGGTTGTTAGAAAAACACCGCACCTTCTTAGTTGGTACAGTGTTATCCACACAGAAGAGAATATAGTCTGTAATGCAGTGTGTCAGGCTCTCGATGTCCTCACCATGAGAGCTGCAGATCATTTCCCAATCAGTGTTTTGAAAACAATCTCTCAGCATCTCATCCACATCATCGCTCCACACTTTTACAATCCTCTTCTGCGCTGGATTTCTTCTCACCACTGGTGTGTATTCCGGAGACAGACGGACCAGGCTGTGATCAGAGCGTCCGAGAGGGGGGAGGGGGGAGGAGGCGTATGCGTCCCGGACATTAACATACAGTAGGTGCAGAGTCTTATTGCCACGAGTTGGGCACGTGACATACTGTTTGAATGTCGGGAGAGTGGCGGAGAGGGAGGCGTGGTTAAAGTCTCCGCTGATCAGAATCAGAGCGCGGGGACTGCGGGTCTGGATCTGGGTCACAGTTCTGTGCATCTCCTCACACAGGCCCGTCCTAAGGGCTGTGCGACCTGTGCCGTCGCACAGGGCCTCGCACCACACAGGGGCCTCGCAATCTTCCTTCCTTTTATTTTATTTTATAAATACACTAGTTCAAGGGTCCCCAAAGGGCAGACTGCACTCCAAATTTGGAACCCTAAACCCCTTTCTCTGGACCTCTTTGATTTCGTTTGATCAAAAGAACATTTTTACAAGTAAAGTCAAATTTTCACCAAAAGCGATTTGTAAACAGGCAGGCGCGCGGGCAGCTATGTATGCAACGGGTCCTCCGAAAAAACTGTCAGATAACTTTAGCAGTGTCTGAGTGAGATACAAAGAAAGTAACGGGAATGATCGCAGTGTAGGAGAGATGGATACTCGCGGAGGAGGAGCAGTGAGACAGGTGTGAGCAGAGGAGCAGACCCCTTTGTGTGAGCAGAGGAGGAGGAGGAGGAGGAGGAGGAGGAGCAGTGATACAGGTGTGAGCAGAGGAGCAGACCCCTTTGTGTGAGCAGAGGAGGAGGAGGAGGATCAGCGGTGTGACAGGTGTGTGAGCGCTGCTATTGCCAATGTTTAGTCCGAATATCCACATCAAAAACATATTTTTAAAAGCATTAGCAAACACACTGTATGTCTAGCTTTAGCTAGCTGGAGTGTTTTTGTTGTGGTCAGAGTGTGTGTGGAGGAGGAGGTGAAGAGTATTTTGTTGTTGTCAGTGTGGAGGAGGAGGAGTGTATATGTTGTCAGAGTGTGTGGAGGCATGGCAAAAACGTTATTTGATGAGAAAATAATAATATTGACTCCGCCTCATAGCCATTTTGGCGCATTTTGCCCAAATCTAACTATTAGAAGAAAAAGACTCCTTTTGGTTCAATCTTTTGAGTTGCTCTACCATTTTGCCACAGGACGAAAGAGACATGTCAGCTAAAAAGACCGCGACCAATATTGCACGTAGAGTGTGTGTGCGTGTGTACGTGCGCGCGCCAAACGCTGCATAGGAGCGAAGACACTCGGTTACGCGCGTGCTGATCTCGTCAAGCACCGCGCGAGGTGGTGCTGAATTCATGTCAAAGATTATAACAGGAAAAACTTTCCTCAGATCTGGGAAAAAAGTGTCAGGGCAGGGCCTCGCGTTTCGAGTTCGCACAGGGCCTCGCACCCCCCTTGGGACGGGCCTGTCCTCACATGCTGCGGCTGCGTCTGCTGACGGGGGGATGTAGGCACATAGAACCACGGTGTGTGAAAACTCCCGCGGCAGATACCTGGGTCTCATGCTCACAGCGAGCAGCTCCAGGTCCTGGGTGCATGTGCGCTGGACCACATGCACGTGCGTCGGGATGCACCACTGCTCGTTCACGTAGACCGCGACAGCAGGTTCTGTATCTCCTGATGCAGCAGAAGGATCATACAGCAGGTTCTGTATCTCCTGATGCAGCAGAAGGATCATACAGCAGGTTCTGTATCTCCTGATGCAGCAGAAGGATCATACAGCAGGTTCTGTATCTCCTGATGCAGCAGAAGGATCATACAGCAGGTTCTGCACTATTGTTTCAGAGTGAGGACATTAAACCAGGTGGAGATATTGTACGTGAGGATGGATTCCATGAGTGAGATATACACAGGTGATAAAAGGCCTTTGCTAACATTAAAAGTCTGCATTGTGTCTGAAGGACAAGCTGCTGTCTATTTCTGTCCCAAGGTATTTAAAACAGCCCAGCTGCTCCACCTGCTCCACCTGTTCCACCTGCTCCCCCTGTTCCACCTGCTCCCCCTGCTCCACCTGTTCCACCTGCTCCCCCTGTTCCACCTGCTCCCCCTGCTCCACCTGCTCCACCTGTTCCACTTGCTCCCCCTGTTCCACCTGCTCCAGCTGCTCCACCTGTTCCACTTGCTCCACCTGCTCCCCCTGCTCCACCTGTTCCACCTGCTCCACCTGCTGGCCGTTGATGACTAAGGGTTGAAAAAGATCCACAGAGTCTGTTTTTCTATAGCCGCTCCACAGCACAGCTCCTTGGTTTTAGAAATGTTGAGCTCCAGGGAGTTCTGAGTAAATCCAGAAACCAGCGTGTGGACCTCCTGCTGAGAGTGTGCTAGGGCCTGTGCATCAGGGAGGTGTGCTAGGCCCTGTGCATCAGGTGTGCTAGGGCCTGTGCATCAGGTGTGGTAGGGCCTGTGCATCAGGGAGGTGTGCTAGGGCCTGTGCATCAGGGAGGTGTGCTAGGGCCTGTGCATCAGGTGTGCTAGGACCTGTGCATCAGGGAGGTGTGCCACCAGAGCTATGTCGTCTGCGTACTTTATAAGGGTCAGTCCTTGTGTGCTACAGATGTTGTTAGTGTACATTAGTGTACACAGAGCACAGGTGACAGCACACAGCCATGGGGGAGTCCAGTCCTCAAAATAATATGGCTGGACTTGACACCATCTATCAGCACATGCTGTGGCCTATCCTGTATAAACTCCCTGATCCATAGAATCAGTAATGTGTAGTAGTAGTAGTAGTACGCAGCAGTAGCAGTAGCAGTAGTAGTAGTAGTAGCAATAGTAGTAGAAGTAGTAGTCTCTCTCTGGTCTCTCTCCCTGTGTGTTTGATATTGTTCAGGACAAGACACAAACGATGAAATTAACTTTTTTTATTACTGAAAAAAACACGTCACGTTTGTGTTAAATACATATAAATATAAACATGTCCACCAGAGGTCACTGTCCCACAGGCTGCACCAGAGACACCAGGTGTGACATCACCACAGTGTGACATCACCTCAGTGTGACATCACCTCAGTGTGACATCACCTCAGTGTGACATCACCTCAGTGTGACATCACCACAGTGTGACATCACCTCAGTGTGACATCACCTCAGTGCGATATAGAGCCAGTTTCCTCATATGAGCGTTTGTTCTGACATTAGCTTAGCGCTGTAACAGGAGCGGTTGCTAAGGCGGTTGCTAAGGCAAACTGGAGTGACCAGTGAATGAAGGCCTCTGATTGGTCAGAATTGAGTTAGAGAGTAACATGGTCCAGCTGTGTACTGTCCATGGTCTTCATTGTATTCATGTCACTGTTTTGGTTTCTCTGGTCCCTCTGGTCCCTGGGGTCCAGGTGCCTCAGGTGGCAGCTGTGGCAGAGCAGGTGTCCATTCAGAGGGAAACAGCGGCGACCCTCTTCATCACTCAGCTCCATCTCACACTCCTGCAACAGACACAGCAGTCTCTTTCTCTGGTCTCTCTCTGATCTCTCTGGTCTCTCTCTGGTCTCTCTCTGGTCTCTCTCTGGTCTCTCTCTGGTCTCTCTCTGGTCTCCCTCTGGTCTCCCTCTGGTCTCTCTCTGGTCTCTCTCTGGTCTCTCTCTGGTTTCCCTCTGGTCTCTCTCTGGTCTCTCTGGTCTCTCTCTGGTCTCTCTCTGGTCTCTCTGGTCTCTCTCTGGTCTCTCTCTGGTCTCTCTGGTCTCCCTCTGGTCTCTCTCTGGTCTCAAGCTGGTCTCTTACCTCACAGTGATAACACTCCACATGATAATCTTTGTCCATAGAAACGACTCTTATGGTCTCATCTGAGCCCTGCAACACAGAAACAGTCGTTATGACTGCAGCAGGAGGAAACAGTCGTTATGACTGCAGCAGGAGGAAACAGTCGTTATGACTGCAGCAGGAGGAAACAGTCGTTATGACTCAGCAGGAGGAAATAGTCGTTATGACTGCAGCAGGAGGAAACAGTCGTTATGACTCAGCAGGAGGAAACAGTCGTTATGACTGCAGCAGGAGGAAACAGTCGTTATTACTGCAGGTTGTACCTCAGTGGGGAGAATGGGCTGATCACATGCTGCACACTTTGGAGCCAGGACTCTGAAAAACAAAGAGGTTTAAAGAGAGACCAGAGAGAGACCAGATAGAGACCAGAGAGAGACCAGAGAGAGATCAGAGGGAGCGACCACAAAGAGACCAGAGAGAGACCAAAGAGGGACCAGAGGGAGGTTATGACTCGTTCTAGTCTGCAGTTGCGGCACAAAGGCCTTTTGTTTCTGCTCCAGGTGCAGAAACAAAGACCAGGAACCACTGTTTAAACAAGGCACATATTGGCAGAGAAATATGAACCTCTCTGGTCTCTCTCTGGTCTCTCTCTCTGGTCTCTCTCTGGTCTCTCTCTCTGGTCTCTCTCTGGTCTCTCTCTGGTCTCTCTCTCTGGTCTCTCTCTGGTCCCTCTCTCTGGTCTCTCTCTGGTCTCTCTCTCTGGTCTCTCTCTGGTCTCTCTCTCTGGTCTCTCTCTGGTCTCTCTCTCTGGTCTCTCTCTCTGGTCTCTCTCTCTGGTCCCTCTCTGGTCTCTCTCTGGTCTCTCTCTCTGGTCTCTCTCTCTGGTCTCTCTCTGGTCTCTCTCTCTGGTCTCTCTCTCTGGTCTCTCTCTGGTCTCTCGCTGGACTCTCTCTGGTCTCTCGCTGGACTCTCTCTGGTTTCTCTCTATCAAGTCTCCACCTGTGGTAGTCTGTGTGGTATGTGTTACATTAATAACCTTCCCCCTCACCTGTGGTAGTCTGTGTGGTATGTGTTACATTAATAACCTTCCCCATCACCTGTGGTAGTCTGTGTGGTATGTGTTACATTAATAACCTTCCCCATCACCTGTGGTAGTCTGTGTGGTTTGTGTTACATTAATAACCTCCCCCCTCACCTGTGGTAGTCCCTGATGCAGTAGATCCTGTTGTCCGCGTCCACAGTGAAGGGAACACCGTCCAGACTGTCGTTGCAGATCACACATCGGAAACATCCAGGATGATACGACTGTCCCAGCGCCTGCAGGATCTGGCAACACATGGCATCGTATATGTACAGGGCTGGACTGGGACAAAAAAACGGCCCGGGCATTTTTTCCTTCTTAGCGGCCCAGGCAACTCAAAATGTTCAAGGAGCCATATTTGACAAAAAAACTAAAGACAACATCTGTCTGGAGCCGCAAAAAAAAAAAAAAACAGCGTTGTATAAGGCTTGCATGAAGGTAACAGGGGCTGAAGCTGTATTAGCTATATTAGCTACCTTAGCTACATTAGCTACATTAGCTACCTTAGCTACATTAGCTATATTAGCCTAATATCTAAATGACAAAGTAAAGGCTACAAACACATAAAAACCATTCATGATTATCAAATGTGTATTTTCATTGCAGCGTGTCCTGGAGAGAATGACGCACCACGTGACAAGTCTGCTTTAAGTTTAACCTTCATGCAATTGTACAAATAGAGTAAATAAATCTGCTTTTTGGCTCCGAGTTCACCTGCATCACTGTCTGTTCATATCCATCACAGGCTGAAGTTTGCTGGAGCTGAATGTCCTTAATGGCCTTTTCTTTCACTGTCTTTGCGAAGGTATTTGAAGTCTGAAAATAGGTGCTCTGACTTTATGATGAATGAATCTTTCAGTGAACAGTGTTTAAAGCTTCATTGTTCCTCCTGTTGCAACAAAACTTTTAATTACATCGCAAACATGAAGCAGTCCTTCCTCATTGACTGAAAGCAAATGTTCATTCTCATTCTTAGTCCAGTCTTATCGACTCTCTTTATCTTTGGGATCCATGCGCACACACAGTTAAAATTGAATATTACTTATACAAGTTTTCGCAGCATTGAAAAACGTTAAGAATGTTTTTCCTCCTACAGAAACCACATTCAAACTAGAAATAAAATATAGCCCTCACACTCCATTTTCAGACATTTTTTAAAAGGCTCCAGGAGCCACTTTAGGGGCACTAAAGGTTGCCGACCCCTGGTTTATACAGTATGTGGAAGCAAATACTGTAGAGGATCAGAATGTCTGCAGTGTCAACAAAAAAATACAGTACAATAGTCTACATTAAACAGAGTAATAAACAGAATTAGTAAACATTTCTGAAATGCATATTGTCAGCCATTAGCTGGCTCTAAATCTGTTTAATCTGTTCAAAACATGTTACTTTTGGGCTCAAACATGAACTTTTGATGCAATGGAAAATTTAGGTACCCGAGCTTTAATTTATAGGAGAGGGGAGACGCAAACTGTTTTCTGCAACGGTGTATTTATTGGGTGCACAAATTACGCAAAGACATGCATGGTCCTGTGCACGTTTATGGTCTTGGGTACATGGTCACGTTGCGGCTACGCGCTCACAGTGTTGTGTTGTGAGCGGCTCCCGGTGAGGGGCTCCTGCGTCCAGCTCAGAGCCGCTGGATGCGGGAACACTGCGGCCGCTGAGGTGGTAGAATCCCGTTCCAGTACATACAGCAGGTGCCCCGCGGACACGCGCGCTCCCCTCAAACATTTCTCAACGGATTTACACTTTTCACAAACATGTTTTTTGTATGAGGCAGACAGACCGGCCCAAATATGGGCATCGGCCCTTCGGGCATTGCTGCCTGTAAGGTGACCTTGGGAATTTTGAAAGGCGCCCACAAATAAAAAATGTATTGCCCGGTACGCCCGATGGCCAGTCCAGCCCTGTATATGTATACAGATGGACAATGCTAATACTAACCCGCTAGCTCAATGCTAACCCGCTAGCTCAATTCTAAACCGCTAGCTCAATGCTAACCCACTAGCTCAATGCTAACCCACTAGCTCAATGCTAACCCGCTAGCTCAATGCTAACCCGCTAGCTTAATGCTAACCCGCTAGCTCAATGCTAACCCGCTAGCTCAATGCTAACCCGCTAGCTCAATGCTAACCCGCTTGCTCAATGCTAACCCGCTAGCTCTATACTAACCCGCTAGCTCAATGCTAACCTGGCATTTTTGCCTTCTTGACGGCCCAGGCGTGTTTTTTTGTTTTTTTTCACGTTTTCTACAGTTTGTGTATACAGTATGGAAGCACACACTGTAGAGGATCAGGATGTCTGCAGTTTAACAATAAAATAAAGTGCAATAGTCTATGTGATTACTGGATTCGTCCGGAAGTTCAGTTAATAAGTCCTTAACTCACTGACTGCCAGGCATTTTCAGATTTGAGTTCAGAAGTGCGTTCTGCCAGCAATTTCAGGTGATTTGACCCAACTTTGAAGTGCCACAGAATATTCATTTTTTAGACAATGTAAACACCAAGGGCACCAAATTAAAGATTAACCTCTCTGCTTTACTCTGAAAAAAAAAACAGTTTGTTTCTACCTCTTACCGTTCTTGAGCTATTCGCCATAGAACAAAGCATACTTTCACCCATAACACCTGGTCTGAGCAAGAAAACAGAGAAAACGAGCTGTATGTAAACAGGAACATATCAAGCAGAAAAGTGACTTATAGATGCATTTTTGCTGCTTTAGTGACAACTCAAAACATCTTCACACTTGTTCCATTACAAAAATTATAAAACATGACTCTGAAATAATACTTTTGATGGCAAATTGTTGGCAATTTATTCACAGATAGAAAATTTTACTTTCTTCTATTCCATCAACCAAAACGTCAAACAACAACAACACAAAGATCAATAAAACTATAGATGTATAAAATAGAATGACGCGTGTGAATTTGAGTGTGTGTGTGTGAATGTCAATGTGCGAGTGAGTCTCTGTGTGCGTGAGTGAGTGCGTGTGTGTCTGTGTGAGTGAGTGAGTGCGTGTGTGTGTTCGTGTGAGTGTTTGTGAGTGTGTGTATGAGTGAGTTTATCTGCTTTTTCAGTCCTCCCAGTAGTTCAGCTTTGAGTTGTAGAGGTTGAAACACTGTGTGCAACGGAACACGACACGCTGTGTACCATTTGTAGTTCTCCCTCCGTGAAGAAGAGCTCCAGAAAGTATGGATCAGATGAATCCAGCTCCAGAAAGTCTGGATCAGATGAATCCAGCTTCGCAGCCTCTGTCCGCAGCCTCTGTCCGCAGCCTCTGTCCGCAGCCTCTGTCCGCAGCCTCTGTCCGCAGCCTCTGTCCGCAGCCTCTGTCCGCAGCCTCTGTCCGCAGCCTCTGTCCGCAGCCTCTGTCCGCAGTCTCTGTGGTCCAGGAGCTCCTGTGAAGGGCAACTGACTCTGCTCCCACTCATCCTCCTGTCAGCCATCCTCCCCAGAGCTTCTGGGTGACGAACGTGCTGGAAAATGGATACACACAATAACTATATTATACAGTGAATTTGTTACAATAAATCAATACATAAAATACAATGAAGGCCTTCCTCCCACATTATTGACTGACTACTTTTGTACCAAACAAGTATACTATATTATTATTATATTATATTGCCATGGGATGTACAAGAATAGAAATAGTTCTTTTACCTTTTTTGTGCACAGCAACTGCCTCTTGATGCACCACCTGTAAATAATATAAATTTGTAAATCACTATACCAGGAGAATATATACAAAAATATGTACAATGGTATGAGGAGGCATTATCTTTACCTCCATGCCCTGTCAACCCCAATGGGGGAGGGCTCTTTTATCAGAATCTGTGAATGAACACATTTCATTTAGTCAGAGCTATGTCACTGCACCAAGATGTTCAAGTATGAAATAACTAAACATAAAAATAATAAATACAACAATGATAAAACGCATAACTGGCATTTACTAAAGAAACAGTAGGATTTGAGCGCTGTGTTACTTTGCAGATCAGAGCAAGTTTCCGCGCCTTTCCCTCCTCTCAAGTTAGCATATTCTTGGCAATTTAGCAAGTTCTTACCTTTGACTCTTTGTGGAGCTTCTGGAGAGGATGCTCTGCTGGATTGAGACTGCAACCACTCATCCGATAAATCATGATCAGGTTTGCTGAACGAATCCGAGGCATCAGTAACAACAGCAGCTGATACGCTGCGAGAGGCGGAAGGTGTGTCCCTGCTCCGGGCTCTGGGCTGCAGAGACGGACCTCCACCGGGGTCTCCACTCTCTCCCCTCTCGACCTCACTCACTGATCCGCGAGTCAATCTCTGAAGCAGTGTACACTGCTTATAACTATTCTTTTTCGCCATCCCTCTTGCTATACTATCGCTAAACTAGATCGCTGATCCGTCTCAATGCTACAGCGGCTCGCTCTCCAAACACTCCCACACTCCTCCTCCTTCTCTCCACTGACCTATGACCTCTCCTGTGGTGCAATACTACATCCTACTGGTGTTGATTTATCATTACAGGTACATTTGCACTATATATCAGTATTGTGGGTCATTCACAAGGTGCGCGAGACATTACTGTAGCCTCTCGTGTAATAACATGAAAAACTCGTCAAACTCGTCATGGGCAGTGAGCGTTACTATTCAACATGACGACTTTTGTCGTCATGGGCAGTGAATGAGTTAAGTGGTGACTGGTTAAGTTTAGGTGTAAGATGGTTAAGGTTAGGGTTAAGGTGGTCTGAGTAAGATGGTTTAGGTTAGGGTTAAAGAAGCTATACCCGATTTTTTTTAAGTAGTTGATAAAAATGGTTATTACTACATACAAGTTGTATTATAATCCGTAGAGTCTTAGCGGGACGCTCGTTCTCCTCCACTCACAGAACGAGCAGCGAACAGCCTGCGTCCTCTAGCCCCTACAGCGCTGCTTAACACCCCGTGCTTCGGCTTCGAAATTCAAAGATAATTCTAAGATTAAAAATATATAATTCGAACAAATATTAAATTTAATGACTGCGAATAAAATAGTTAGCTCCCAAAGGTTCCGGGACGTGCTAGGCAGGTAACAGCTAAGCTAGCTAGCTCCCTGGAACTAACGCTACATGTTAATGGTTACTTCCGGGTTTTTCGCAATCGCTTTTTGTCACATTAAAATAGTAATTTGGTCATGAAAACGATAACAAGAAATTCTGAAAAAGTCCGTGCATGTGTGTTAAGGATGTACATGTATACTGTCCGATTAACGT